GAAGTAGCTAGGATTAAAGATGTGAGGCACTGGCACCCAGCTTCCCTTAGCTTTTTGACTGGAAGTTAGTTCTCTATTACTTGAGTTACACTTCCAGCCTTTTGCTGATTACTTGGACAAAACCAGCTCAGGCTGGCTTTGAACTGACAACCTCACATCTCAGCCTCCTGAGTAGCTAGGATTACAGGTGTGAGCCACTGGTGCCTGACTGCATTACTTTTGTAAATGGGAGGGGGGTTAACTTTGAGAAAGAAATGTTTTTTAATAGATAAACTATAATTCCACAGCAAGCTTAACAATATACAACTATATTACCCTTCACAAAATATGCTTTGTGTAGGAATCAGGAGGTTTGACTTGACTGCTAAGAGTACTGGTGTTGGAATCAGAGACCCAGGTAAACCTATATCCTGAGAGCTCCTCCCAACTAGAATGAACAACCGTGGGACCGGCTGTTGAAGGAGGAGACTGGGTGCTATTTGTGTTTGAAGACTCGTTACTCTGGAGAGCATGTAGATTAGATTGTCATACAAAATTGCTTTGGCGGGGAGGGTGGGGAGGGGGGAGAAACAAAGGAAAAGGAGAGACTGGTGAAGAGGCTTTGCAACCATCCAAGCAAGAAATGATGCTGACTTGGAATAGCCAGGGAGAAAGGTGCAGGAAATATAAATTAGATATATTCAAGGTCTCCTAGTTCAAATGGACTAAGGAAGAAAGACACAGACAGACAGACTAGTATTTGGGAAGTCTAGAGATTTAGCTTGGCTTAGGGACCAGAACATTTGGAGCCGGGGAGGGTGTTTCCATATCCTCTAGCTTTAACCTCTGCCGTGATGATGATGATGATGATGATGATGATGATGATGATGATGATGATGATGATGATGATGATGTTGTGGGGCTTGAACTCAGGTCCTGGGTGCTGTCCCTGAGCTCCTTGCCCAGCAAGTGCCACAGCGCCACTTCCAGTTTTCTGATAGTTCATTGAAGATAAAAGACTCTTATGGAATTCCCACCTAGGCTGGCTTTGCAGCCCCGATCTTCAGATCTCAGCATCCTGAGCAGCTAGGATGACAGGCCTCAGCCACCAGCATGCGGCTTAAAATCAGTTCTTTGACAGTTAATAGCTGATTGCTAACAGCCTAGACTTGAACCTTCCTAGCACCTTTGGCAAGAAATTCTTTACTGTTGGCTGCAGGGAGTAAAAAAGCCCAAGGAAGTCCCTGATTGGGTGTGGCCTAGTTCACAGCCCATTCCTGATCAATGATGGTCTAGGGGTGGGGCTTGGCTCACAGCTCATTGCTGACCAATCAGTTGGATTAAGGGCATGGCAGGAATCCACCACTGAGTCAGATCTGCTCACAGGCCCTGGCCTGTGACACCCCAACCCAGGATGTATGGACTGGATTCTGGGTGTAGAGTGCATCCCTGTTATCCCAGGGGTGCGTCTGAAACAAGAAGAGAGTGCTCTAGGATACCCAAGGGGAGAGAAAACAACAGCCTATCAAGACCAGGGCTCAGCCAGGGGGAATTGGTCTGGCATGTTCTGCTGGGTTAAGAAAGGAGCCAATGTTGTGGTGGGTGCCCAGTGGCTCCCGCCTGTAATCCCAGCTACTCAGGAGGCTGAAACCTGAGGATTGCAGTTCAAAGCCAGCCCCGGGAAGGAAAGTCTATGAATCCCCAAAAAGCTGGAAGTGGAGCACTAGCCTTGGAGCACAAAAGCTCAGGGACACCACCCAGACTCTGAGTTCAAGCCCCAGGACTGGCACAACAAAAAAAATTAAATCAATCAATAAATCAGGAGGAATTGAGCTGCAGTCCCGGTGGGAAGGTGATTGCCTATTTTAACTGGATTTGTCCTGTGGCCCTCAGGATGGCCATGCGAACTTTGCGTGTCATTTGTCTAAGAGAAGTTTCTGGGGCTATTTCAGGACAGTCTGGGGTAGGCAGTAGGAGGTGTGGGCTACGGCATTCCACTTTTCCAATGGGAGCACAATCAGTCAGAATCAATCCAGAGTCCTCAAGTGACCTCTAAGACTTGTCTCATCTCCAGAAGCTTCTCCCAGAATACGCTGTGACGTTGACTGGATCCCTCCTCCTCCAACACCTTTCTCATCCACCCCCTCTGCCAGACAGAGGATGCCCCCCCCTCTCAAGTGCTCCTGACGATCACCCCTCCCCTCCAACATCCGTACTGACTTACTTTGTATAAACCTGTGCCAAAGAACTGGCCACAGATTTATTATCTATATGTTTCCCAAACCTTTTTTTTTAACCCTATATTTATTGTGCAAACAATGCTATTTAAAATATTTATGTCACTTAGCTATATAACCTTGAACAAGTTATTAAATCTCTGTCTCCCAGTTCCCTTGTCTGCCGCGTGAGACAATAATAGTCCCTACTTCGTGCAATTGTGGGAACACTTAAATTCATCTGAGTAAAACGTTTAGCACAGAGCAAACTTTCAGCGATACTGCCTCTTATTGCTCTTTGGCGGGAGCAAAACAATATCCAGGCTAACTTTTGAAATGCAATATTAAACATAGCCTTGATTTAAGAAGGGCAATATTTGTAAATTCATTTTTTTTTGGTTTTGTTTTGTTTTCGTTGTGTTTTTGGTGCCAGCATTGGGGTTTGAACTCAAGGCCTGAGCACTGTCCCTTTTTTTATTTCTGCTCAAGGCTGGTGCTCTACCATTTGAGTCGCAGTTCTACTTCTGGCTTTTTGGTGGTTAATTGAAGATAAAAATCTCACATATTTTCTTGCCTGGGATAGCCTGGAACTTTGATCCTCAGATCTCAGCCTCCTGAGCAGACACAAGTGGAGGTGTGGTTTAAGAGGTAGAGCGTTAGCCTTGAGTGGAAAAGCTAAAGGCTAGCACCCAAGCCCTGAATTCAAGCCCCATTACAGGAACAAAAAAGCAAAAGTAGGAATTATTCTTCCCTAGTCAGACTGCATTCCTAGGTCTCCCATTTTATCCTGGGTGCCCTCATTTGGCCTTTTGTTCTAGGCTGCTAGCCACTCTTTTTTTTTTGGTCGGACATGGGGCTTGAACTCTGGGCCTGGGCGCTGTCCCTCAGCTCTTCAGCTCAAGGCGAGCACTCTACCACTTGAGCTACAGCCACTTCTGGTTTTCTGGTGGTTTATTGGAGATAGGAGTCTCACGGTCTCTCCTGCCCGGGCTGACTTTGAACCGCGATCCTCAGATCTCAGCCTCCTGAGTAGCTAGCATTACAGGCGTGAGCCACCAGCGCCTGGCTTTGCTAGCCACTCTTGACTCTTTTCCGGCCCTTCAGTCCCCAGACCCCATCCATCCTGGACACTTCTGGGCTCAAGCAGCAGTGACTGCCAGGAGACAGGACACAGGTTTCAGATGTGTGTGTGTGTGCGTGTGCATGTGTGTGTGTGCATATGGTTCTGGGCACTGGCAATTTTCAGAGCGGAAAGACGGAGAGGAGGGCAAATGAGGGAGGGATGACTCCTTAAATGACTTTTTCGTTCCAAAATAGCAGTGACTTACACGGTGTGACCGTCTGGGTGGAGCCAAAATTAATACCAGAGTCCCTCAGGCCCCTGTATCTTGCTGCTGTATGGGGTCGGGAAGTGTGGCCTTTGGCCTTTGGCTGGGAAGGCTGGGACACAGGTGTTTTCCAGGAGGAGAGAGGCTGTGACCCCCCTCCCCCCTTTTAAGAGCATGACCCAGAAGTTGTACCTGTCAGTTCCTCTAAAATCCTATTAGTCAGAAAATAGTCATGCCCAGCTGCAAGGGAGGCTGGGATTTGTAGTTTTTAGCAGAGTCTGGGATTTGTAGTTCTTGGCAGAGAAGAGCTGTTTCTGCCTGTGTGATTTGCCTGACAACTATTTGCCTAAACTTTAAAGATACAGTACATGGGCCACACTAAAGCTCCCAGCACAACTATGTTTATCGCAGCAATATTTACCATAGCTAAGATATGGAACCAACCCAGATGCCCCTCAGTAGATGAATGGCTCAAGAAAAGATTATATATATATATATATATATATATATATATATATATATATGTATATGAATTCTATGTTTCCTTCAGAAAAGAATGACACTGCTCCATTTGTAAGGAAATGGAAGGACTTAGAAAAAATCATATTAAGTGAAGTAAGCCAGACCCAAAGAAACGTAAGTCCCATGGTTTCCCTTATTTGTAATAATTAGCATACATCTAGGATAATCTTAGCAGGTGAGCAGAATAGCTCAATAGCTATGTACATATGACCATATAAGATTATGCTAAGTAAAATGAAGTCCAAGACATGGACACAAGAGGTTTTACTTCGTTGTTCTCAGTGTATTACGTGATCGTGTGTGTGTGTGTGTGTGTGTGTGTGTGTGTGTGTGTGTGTGTGTGTGTGTGTGTTCTCCCCTTTATGGTTTATCCCCTGTTGTCACTGCATTTGATTTTGGTACCCTGGGTATTGTTTATCTGAACTAGGGAAGGGAAGGGGAACAACAAAATGGTGAGCCAAAGGACAAAGGGGGAACTTATACAACAGCGATACTCACAAGACAATATGTTGGAAATGATCTGTACCACTTGAGGGGGTGGGGGGAGGGAAAGAGGGAGAGAAATGAGGGAAGGTGTAACAAGTTAGACAAGAAATGTACTCACCACCTTACGTATGTGACTGTACCCCTCTGTGTATCACCTTGCCTTGTATTCAAACCCCAACACACCAAAAATAAAACAACAATAATAAAAAGAATTGAACAGCAAAGGATCAGAGTTGGGGACCAGAACTCCCAGCTCTGGGCACACTTCTCTGTGAGGCAGAGCTAGGCCAGGTTTCCTGAGGGCGGAGAAGGAGGAGGCTGTGGTTCCCAGCCTTAACCTGGGGAGCTGCTTGTTTTCTTTAGGACTTACCTGCAGGGTGGCGAGGTGGTGGGGGTGGGGGGGGAGAGGGAGAGAGACTGCCTTGGGCCTGAGATCCTCCAGGTAGCCTTTGTTGCATGTAGAGTGCATTCTGTCATGAACTGCTTGGTCAGCTCTGTGCCCACTGAGAAAACAGCTTCAGGTACAGCTGGATCCAGGAGCTCTCGACGTCTTTCTGCCCTTCTTACCTTGCATGTGGAATTGGGACGAGTAGAGGGATAGACGTCGGGAGGCTGCTGCTGCTCAGGGCTGGGCAAGGCACCCCTGTTGGACCCCATCACCATTCAGGTATTTCCTTTCAGGGTTGCTTCTTGAGTCATCTCTCTGTCTTTTTGTTGTTGTTGTTGTTGGTTGTGGGGCTTGAACTCTGGGCCTGGGCGCTGTCCCTCAGCTCTTCAGCTCAAGGTGAGTGCTCTACCGCTTGAGCACAGCACCACTTCTGGTTTTCTGAGTGGTTTTATGGAGATAAGAGTCTCACAGACTTTCCTGCCTGGGCTGGCTTTGAACCGCGATCCTCAGATCTCAGCCTCCTGAGTAGCTAGGATGACAGGCGTGAGGCACCAGTGCCCGGCTTTGAGTCATCTCTTGAGAGCCTCCATGTGGTGGCTCACTTTTGCTGGAGATGGCTGTATTCCCACACTCCCAACTGTGGCAGCGGGCTGGCCCTTGTCTCCTCCTTCTCTGTAGAAGGCCTGGGCGCTCCGGTGTTTCCTGCGGGGCTCTGCGGAGCTCCACATTTAGCTGAGGCTGTGATCGAGGAGGAAGAGACAAGGGGGCAGTGCAGGCGGACTCTAGCGAGGCTCTCCCCTGGGAAAGGCACGGGGTGGGTGAGCTGTGCGTGTTCAGCACAGGATCATCATGCATCCACGTGGCTCAGGGCACCGCCCATCCGTCCAGGTGGGCTGTGATTGGCTTTCTGGTCCAGGTCACACCTTCTGATCCTGGAGTACCATTTTGCCTGTGACATGTGCTTTCTCTACCCTCTTCTGTGTCCCTGGGCTCTGAGGCTGGGGGTAGAAGCTTCATGTTGCTTTACACATGCGGAGTGTCTCTGTTCTTGGCTGCCAAGCGGATTCTTTCCAAGGTGGACCAGAAGAATGGGCTTCCCAGGTGCATGGAAGCTCAGTGCCCACCCTGGAAGCCCTTCTGAGGGAGGAGCCATGGGCTCTGGGGGAGCACTATGGGGCTGAGCTCACCAGGCTCCACGCCTGTCATCCCAGCTACTCAGGAGGCTGAGATCTGAGGATCACAGGTGAGAGTCCCCAGTCCCTGCTGCTGGGGTTTCTGGGGGGCCACCCTGGCAGGACGGGAAGGGGTGTTGCCGAGATACAGCTGGGAATGGAGCCGTTCAGTCAGCAGGTGGCCAGGCCTGGAGGCTTCCAGATTTGGGACCGGAAGTGTCTGGAAAGGAAAGGAAAGAACGAGGCTGCTGGGAGCTTTCCCACTGCGGAGGCTTGTGGAGAAGAGGAGGAGGGAGGACAGGACGCACCCGTGTGACTGAGGGACTCCCTCAGCCCAGCTGCCCAGCGTGGGCACGTGGTGTGTGGGAGACACAGCATGGCTGCGATCCACCGGATGGAGCCTGCTGCCTATGGCTGGATCCGGTGCTGTGGATTTCAGTGAAGCTTGCCCCGTGGCAGGGGCAGAGAAGGGGTAGGGGGAAAAAAAATATGGCTGGAGCCACAAATCTACTTTGCACTCAGTTCTGGCCTCTGGTCTCTTGCTATTTTTTGATGCCAGTACTGGGGCTTGAACTCAAGGCTACTACTTGAACCACACCTCCACTTTGGGCTTTTTGCTGGTTAGTTGGGAGACAAAGAGTCTCTCAGACTTTTCTGCTCTGGCTGAGATCCTCAGATCTCAGCCTCTGAGTAGCTAGGATGACAGTGCAGGCACGCTTGCATTTCTGATTGGCCTTGGTCACTCAGTGCCAATGTGTCTTTCTGCTACCCCGTGCTGTAGCCTGAGCTCTTCTGCACCCAGCCAAGTGCTCAGCCTTGACCCTGAGCAGCCCAGCTTTGCCTTGCTCACCACCCAGCCTCCTCCCCCGTAAACTTGGGCTGAAAGGATTGGTGGATCCATCTGTCTCCTCCTGCCCACTGCCCCGGTCTAGCCTCTGGGATGGCTTCCTCCTGCTAGCATCTCACCAGGGTCCCTCTACAGGATGCCCTAGGGGGTTGGGCAGGAAAACCTCCCACTGGGCAGCTGCAGCCCTTCCCTGAAGGCTGGCTTTGGGGAGGCCCAAACAAAGGCCTTGCTTCCTTTTCCTCCATGCAGGCACAGTGGTCCACCACGGAGAGCTCAGCTGTCAGCTGCCTCACAGGAAGATGTGTGGATGGGGGGTGTGCATGGGCACAGCCCTGGGAATACTGAGCTTCTTTCTGACAGGTGAGGTGGCCCTGACCATCATGGCTGGTGGGGGTGGGGGTTGGACCCATTTCAACCAGACTCCTGCCTAACTGGCTCTCTCTGCCAGAACCACACTTATGTCTGGGATCCAATAGGCAACCTCTATTTTTTAGTGCTATTCTTGGTTCTTGGGCTTGAACTCAGGGCTGGGCGCTGTCCCTTTGCTTTTGTGTGTGTGTGTGTGTGTGTGTGTGTGTGTGTGTGCAAGATTCACACTCTTGCCACTTGAGCCACACCTCCAACACCTGGCTTTTTGCTGGTTAAGACTTTCTTAAAGATTTGTTTGCTTGGGCAGAGGTTTGAATCCTCAGCTCTCAGTCTCCTGAGTTGCTAAGATTATAGATGTGAGCCATTGATGCCCGGCCTCCTTATCTTTCTTAGCCTTCACTGTTTTATCTGTAAATTAGGAACGTGAGCACCGAGTGCTGTATGATTTTGAAGTTTCCTGACCACACTGTGTTCCCTCCTCAGGATCTTTGCATGTTCCATTTCCTCTGATTACAACTTTCTGCCTCTACGTTATTTTTCATTCTTGCACGACTCCCAGCCCTTAATTTGTGCAAGCCTTTGCTCAAATGACATTTCCTTGGCACCACTTTCCTAGTTATCTCCTGCCCTTGACGTGTTCTTCTTGGCACCTGACATATTGTATGATTGCTTGCTTAGCACCTGCTGGCTCCCTGATCAATGGATGGCTGCCTGCTACACAGTCAGGGGTCAGCGGCCATATTGAATGCATGCCACTTTCCCCCTACATTACTGCTAATGGGGCACACAGCAAGCTCTCTGGTGCCATCGTGTGGTCAGCCAGAGGTGGTGCAAGTCCACATGTTGGGCTCCAAGATGGGAAGTCTAAAATTGGGGCTCCAGCAGATTCTGTGTCTGGGGAAGGGCTGCTCCCCATCACTGGGCTGATTATTCACCCTCACATGGCAGTGATTGCATCGGTGGTGTGTGTGTGTGTGTGTGTGTGTGTGTGTGTGTGCGCGCGCCCGCTGGTACTGGTACTGGGGCTTGAACTCAAGGTTCATTTGCTTAGCTCTTTGCTCAAGGCTGGTGCCGTACCACTTGCATCACACCTCTACTTTTGGCATTTTGCTGCTAATTGTGGAGCTAAGAGTCTCATCACCAACACCTGGCTCTAATCCTAGCTGCTACTGCTTCCTCCTCCTCTTCCTTTCTCCGCTTCCTCCTCCTCCTCCTCCTCCTGTTCCTCTTCCTCCTTCCTTTTTCCTCTTCCTCCTCCTTCCATATTCTCATCCCCAACTGATGATTTCTCCCCCCACACTGGGGCTCTATCACTGGAGCCACACCCTCGGCCCTCTTTTGCTTTAGTTGTTCTTCAGTTGTTTGTCCAGATTGGCGTCCTGCATAGCCGGGCTGACACGTGTGTATGTGTACACGTACACTTGTACCGTGTGTAATGATCATATCACAGGCTGGCGCCTGTCATCCTAGCCACCCAGGAGGCTGAGACCTGAGAATCAAGGTTCACAGCCAAATTCCGTCAGGAAGGCCTGTGAGACCCTTCTCTCCACTGAACCACCAAGAAGCCAGAAGTGGCGCTGGGGCTCAAGTGCTCGAGAGCGAAGGAAAAGTCTGGGCCCTGAGTTCAAGCCCCAGAACCAGCATCCCGCCCCCCAAAAAGTGTGGTGTGCAAAGACGAGCAAAGCTGGGATTGGAGGACGGCCCTCTAGGCCCTGCCCCGCCCATCACCACGCCCCGCCCATCGCCCCGCCCCGCCCATCGCCCCGCCCCGCCCATCGCCCCGCCCTCCCATCTCACCCCCCAGGAGCCGTGGAGGTCCAGGTCCCGGAAGATCCAGTGGTGGCCCTGGTGGGCACCGACGCCACCCTGCATTGTTCATTCGCCCCTGAGCCGGACTTCAGCCTGGAACAACTCAACCTCATCTGGCAGCTGACAGACACCAAACAGCTGGTGCACAGCTTCGCCGAGGGCCGGGACCAGGGCAGCGCCTACGCCAACCGCACGGCGCTCTTCCCGGACCTGCTGGCGCGCGGCAATGCGTCCCTGCGGCTGCGGCGCGTGCGCGTGGCGGATGAGGGCAGCTTCACCTGCTTCGTCAGCATCCGGGACTTTGGCAGCGCCGCCGTCAGCCTGCAGGTGGCTGGTGAGCGCCGGCAGGGGGCGCTCTCCCCTCCCATCCCTCGCATGCAGCTCCCCCCCCCCCCCCCGCCCCACCCTCTCCTGACTGACCCCTGACCTCTGCCGTCCTCCAGCCCCCTACTCCAAGCCCAGCATGACCCTGGAGCCCAGCAAGGACCTGCGGCCCGGGGACACGGTGACCATCACCTGCGCCAGCCGCCGGGGCTACCCCGAGGCCGAGGTGGTCTGGCAGGACAGGCGGGGCGCGCCCCTGGCCGGCAACGTGACCACGTCGCAGATGGCGGACGAGCAGGGCCTGTTCGACGTGCGCAGCGTGCTCAGGGTGGTGCTGGGCCCCGACGGCGCCTACAGCTGCCGGGTGCGGAACCTGGTGCTGCGGCAGGACGCGCACGGCTCCGTCACCATCGCAGGTAGCCGATCGGGGGGACCCCAGCCCCAGTGGACGTGGTGGTGGTGGTGGTGGTGGTGGTGGTGGTTTTGATCTGTGGAATCACGGCCAATCGTGGTAGGCGCAGGCCCGCAGGCCCAGCTCTTTGGGGGGAGAGTGGGGGGGAGTAGAGATCGGAGACACAGGTTTGAGGCCTGCAAAGCAAAAAGAAGTTGTGGAGACCCCCTCCAGCTCAAACCCAGAGGCAGAGTAGGGGGAAGTGCACCTGTTATCCAGGGGCAAGCACGAATCGGGAGGATTGCAGTCCAGGCTGACTTGGGTAGAAAAAAAAAGAAGCTACCTCACACATGAGTGGAGCTGGTCTCTGGTGGCTCACGCCTAATCATCCTAGCTGCTCCAGGAGGCTGAGATCTCAGGGTCGCAGTTCAAAGCCAGCCCGAGCAGGAAAGTCCCGGAGACTTTTTTTTTTTTTTTTTGCTAGTTAGTCATGGTGCCTGAACTCTGGGCCTGGGCGCTGTCCCTCAGCTCTTCAGCTCAAGGCTAGTGCTCTACCACTTGAGCCACAGCGCCACTTCCAGCTTTTTCTGCTTATGTGGGGCTGAGGAATCAAACCCAGGGCCTCATGCATGCAAGGCAAACACTCTACCACTGAGCCAGTGAACCATCAGAAAACACCGAAGTGGAGCTGTGGCTCCAAGTAGTTAAGCACCAGCCTGGAGTGGAAAAGCTGAGACGGCACCCAGACCCTGATGAGTATAAAATGATGAGTGTAAAAGAAGGCCTAGAGTGTGCCCCAAGGGGTAGAGTGTCTGCCTAGCAAGCACAAGGCTCTGAGTTCAATCCCTAGTACTGTCAAGAGGGATCTTCCTTCCTTCCTTCCTTCCTTCCTTCCTTCCTTCCTCTTCTTCCTCAGTGTCTCATATCTTATTCAGAGTTGTCCTCAGGGCCTGCCTGGAATCTGGACCTGTGGGCAGCAGTTGTGGCCCCAAGGCTTGATGAGGGCATGGGTCAGGGGCAGTTCTCTGAGTCATGGGAAGGGATCTGTGGCACCATCTGACTGTGCAGGGTCCCCAGACAGAGCAGGGCCTTTCCGCTGGTAGGATATCTGTCTCCTCCTTCCTCCTTCCTCCTTCCTGCATCTCCACCCGGGCAGCTCATGTGGCTCGTAGCTTTCTCTGCTGCCCCCATGTGGTCAAACACCAGATGGCAGCCATCCATGGGGTGATGTCTTTTAAGTTTTGGTTTTCAAGTGGCGCTGTGGCTCAAGTGTTAAGTGCTAGCCTTGAGCTGCACAGCTCAGGGACAGCGTCCAGGTCCAGAGTTCAAGCCCCATGACTGACCCAAAAAAAAAAGCCAAAAGTGGTGTTATGGCTCAGGTAGTAGAGTGCTAGCCTAGAGCACAAAGAGGCTCAGGGACAGCACCAAAGCCCTGAGTTCAAGTCCCAGGCCTGGCACTGAAATAAGGCAGGGACTCTTAGCTTAATTTTCCTCCTGACCTTTCAGTCAGCCACTCACTTTCATTCCAGAAGTCCTTTTTTTTGGGGGGGGGCAGTCAGTTGTGGGGCTTAAACTCTGGGCCTGGGCCCTGTCCCTCAGCTCTTCAGCTCAAGGCTAGTGCTCTACCACTTGAGCCACAGCGCCACTTCCAGTTTTCTGAGTGGTTTATGGGAGATAGGAGTCTTGTGGATGTTCCTGCCCAGGCTGGCTTTGAACCGCAATCCTCTGATCTCAGCCTCCAGAGTAGGATTATAGGTGTGAGCCACCGGCACCCGCCTGGGAGTTGGACTTTTGAGTCCTGAAGCTGGCTCTCTCATGCCAGTGTGCCGTGGCCTGGCTCTCCATGGAAAAGGTTTCTGGAATAAGAACTGGGCGTGGAGCCCAGTGGGGCTGGGGGTCTGAGCCTAGCTCATTCTGTACTAGAGGAGTGTGAGCAGATTTGGGCTGTGTTCCAGGCACCCCCACCAGCCTAGGGGCCAATATATAGAGAAACCCTCCCTGAATATTTCTGCCATTTTGCCCCTTTCCTCTTTTGCCGTTTTTGTTTGTTTGTTTGTTTGTTTCTTGTTTTTTGTCGGTCGTGGGGCTTGAATTTGGGCCGAGGCGCTGTCCCTCAGCTCTTCAGCTCAAGGTGACCACACTACCACTTGAGCTACAGCACCACTTCCCAGTTTTCTAGTGGTTTATTGGAGATAAGAGTCTCATGGAGTTTCTTGCCCGGGCTGGCTTTGAACCCCAATCCTCAGATCTCAGCCTCCTGAGTAGCTAGGATGACAGGTGTGAGCCACCAGCGCTCAGCTTTGCCAGGTTTTTATTTATTTATTTATTTTCTTTCCTGGGTGGTGCTGGGGCTTGAACTCAGGACCTCTTGCTTGCTAGGCAGATGCCGTACCACTTAGGCTGCCCCTCCCGCTCCTTTTTGCATTGGGTATTTTTAGAGCAGGGTGTCCCTTTATGCCTGGGCCTGCCTGGACTACTTGTGCTTCTGGGTGTCACTGGGGATGTCAGGCGTGCTGCAGTATGCCCAGCCATTGGTTTAGATGGAGTCCCGCAAACTCCCTTATGCAAAGGTTGGCTTTCATGGCTGTCCCCTGATCCCTGATCTCTTCCTCCCAACTAACTGGGATTGCAGGCTTGAGCTGCTGGGCTCGGCCCCCCCCCCCCCCAGGAGATCTTACGTGGACAACAGGAGGGGTCCCCCGGGGCAGCCGAGTTAGCCACCGCCCTGTTCTCCAGCTCCCTGGCAATCAGTGCCTCCGCTTCCAATATCTAGAGCAGCGGTTTTGCCAGCCATGCCTGGCAAAACACGGCCCCTGTGCCAGGGTCTCTGCAGCTGCTGCAGGGAAATCCCCTTCTGGCCCTGTTTCTCTCATGTCCTGGCCAAGGGGACAAAGAAAGACCACATGCTTTGTTCTGTTGGTTCCCCAAGGCTTCACCCTGTATGGGAGCAGCTCTGCTCTGTTCTACTCTGGTGACTTTATTCAGGGCCCTGCTGGCCTTAGCCCAAGCATAGACTTTTCAGCCTCGCCCTTGACAGGAGATAGCTAATAGGAGAGGACTCTGTGCTTCATGGGAGTTCTTCTCCACAACACCCCCCCCCCCCCAGACTGCTAGGGATCCTTGGAGAAGCTCAGCCCCTCATGCATTCCAGCACCCTCTTCTGCATATGCAGAGCTAAGCACGCATTTCCTGTAAAATTAGGACAGCCAAGTGCCAGTAGCTCACACCTGTAATTCCAGCTACTCAGGAGGCTGAGATCTGAGGATTGTGGTGTTTGAAGCCAGCCAGGGCAGACAAATCTGAGAACCTCTTATCTTCAATTAACCAGCACAAAGCTGAGAGTGGAGGTGTGGCTCAAGTAATAGCCAAGAAAGAGCATGAGGCCCCGAGTTCAAGCCCCAGTACTGGCATGTGCGCGCGCATGCGCGTACACACACACACACACACACACACACACACACACACACACAAATAAGTGCTTTGTGGACCACATATATCTCTGGTGCTTCTTTCTGCCTGCTCCTCTTCTTTTATCCTCTCTCTCTGTTTCTCTCCCTCCCTCATCTGTCTGTCTGTCTCTCCCACAAGTGTAAAGATTAACATTAGCTCACAGGCTGTACCAAAACAGACCACATTCCAGATTTGACCCATGGTCTGTAGTTTGCAGATTCCTGATGCACAGAGCAACATCACCAGGCAGGAAGAATCTAGATGTTTCTGCTGAAAGTGGTTGGGACGTGGATTTGGCCAGGGGCGGGAAAGCAGGGGCTCGGTTATAGAGATCCTTGACTCTATTCTGAATAATGGAAGCATCATCCTAGAGTCCACAGGGACCCGTAGAAGAATCTAGAGCCTTCGTTACTCACAGACTTTGCAGGCCTGGCTCCATCAGTGCGAGGGGGTTGGGATTGGATGGGAGGCGCTGGGGAGCTTCCATGGGGGGCTGGGCATGGGGGGATGGCGGGGTCTGTCTTCAGGGCCAGGTCCCCAATCTTACTTTCTCTTACTTTCTCGTCCTCCTCTCCTCCCCAGGGCAGCCCATGGCCTTCCCTCCTGAGGCTCTGTGGGTGACTGTGGGGCTGGCTGTCTGTCTGGTGGCACTGCTGGTGGCCCTGGCCTTTGTGTGCTGGAGAAAGATCAAGCAGAGGTGTGAAGAGGAGAGCACAGGTGAGAGTGTGTGTGTGTGTGTGTGTGTGTACTATTCCCTGTGCATTTTCTTTGGGCATACCCCTGTCTCGTCCATTTTGTGCAGCTATAAGAGAAAACCTGAGTCGGGCGCCAGTGGCTCACGCCTGTAATCCTAGCTACTCAGGAGGTTGAGATCTGAGGATCACAGTTCAAAGCCAGCCCAGGCAGGAAAGTCAGTAAGACTCTTATCTCCAATAAACCACTAGAAAACCGGAAGTGGTGCTGTGGCTCAAGTGGTAGAGCGCTTGCCTTGAGCTGAAGAGCTGAGGGACAGGGCCCAGGCCCAGAGTTCAAGCCCCACAACTGACAAGAAAAAAAGAAAGAAAACCTGAGACGGGATAATGCACAGAAATGGACTGGCTCTCCGATCGGGAGGCCAGGCACTCCCATATCAGTGGGCTGGCACCAGATGAAGCCTTTATTGTATGTATGTGTGTGCCAAGATCAGGGCTTGAACTTGGGGCCTGGGTGCCATCCCTTGGCTTTTTATTGCTCAAGGTTGGTGCTCTGTCACTTGAGCCATCTCTCCATTTCTGGCTTTTTTTTTTTCTGGTTAATTGGAGATAAAAGTCTCTTAGACTTTTTTTGCTTTGGTTGCCTATGAACCTCAATCTTCAGGTCTCTTGACCTTAGGATGACAGACATAAGCCACCAGCACCTGGCATTTCGGTGTGAGTTTTGGCCAGAACAGATGTGCAAATCCACAGCAGGAGCTATGCCTGTGATATCCACATGCATGTCTAAGGACAGAGAATGAGTGTAGGCAATAGGTTGAGATCCTGAAGCTGAATATGTCACTTGTGTGACTGAGTATGATCTGCATTCGTGTGCGAGTGCAAAAGTAGTGTGTCACATGTGTGTGTGACTGTAAGTGGGACTGGAAATGAAGTAGCAGGTTGCCAAACTTCAGTGACTTTCTTGTCTTCCTCTGAGCTGCTGCTATTTGCTGGGCTGAGCATCAGTCTTGAGTGGACGATGATTGGTGGAGTATGTCTGCCTCTGGGGTGCTGCTATTGGCTAGGCGGAGTGTCATACTTGAGTGGACGTTGGTGATTGGTGGGTGGGGATGGGGCGTGGACAGTAGGGGGTAGTATAAGAGTAGACAGAGATACGAGCAGAGAGGTCACCCGGACTGGAAGATAACTAGCCATCAGAAAGGAGGGTGGGGAGAGATCAGGTCACTTGTAGGTAGGTGAGTGCTAGCACTGTAGATGGCAAGGTGTGTTGTGGAAAACTAGGTAGGCTTTGTAAAAGGTTGTGTGGACAGACAGAAGGGCAGTGCAGATGGGAGAGGTTGATGGTTGGCTGGGTTGGTGAATGGGTAAGGCAATAAATGTGGGTGGACTAGAGGAAGGCCAGGAGATGGGGCTCCAGATTGGAAGTCTGGAAGTCCTCTCCTTCAGTCTGAGGTTCAACTCTTCTCTGTTCTCCACCTCTTACCTGGCAGTCAGCATTTGGACCACAGGTCAGGCTCGCTCAGGCTTCAGGTGGGGAAGTATGGCGGAGAGAGAGGGCTGTGGAAGGTTTCCATTCACCCTGAGCTGTTCTCTTCTAGGAGCTGAGGACCAGGATGTGGATGGAGAGGGATCCAAGACAGGTGAACTGGAGCCTGGAGGTGGCCCCCTGGGCAGAGGGAGGAAGAGGCAGGAGCTGGAGGGGCCGGGTTTCCTTTATGGGGCTTGAATGAAGCATATTCTCTGACCAAAGCCTCCATCCCAGGGCTTCTAAGCTCTTTGCTTGTGGGGAGGTCAAGCCCCCCCCCTCCCCCCCCCACTGCCCACCAGGAGCCGCTTCTTTGTTCCTGACAACCTCAGCTCAGTCCCAGGGCCAGTGCCACCTAATTCAGCCAGCACTGTGCAGCCAGGGGCCTTCCTCAGGAGACAGAAGTCTCATCCTAACTGAGCGGCCCTCAGCAAGCCCCTGTTCCTCTCTGGTCGCAGTTTCTTCATGTGTAAGATGGGTTCAATCAGTCTGGAGGTTTATCCACATTGGATTATATCTGCATCTGTCTCTATTTATATGCACGACCTGGTGCTTCACACACTGCAGTCTTGCTCTTGTGGGCAGATGGCCGACCCATGGTCCTCCTTAGAGGACGAGGCCCTTTACTTCTCTAGGCTTTTACTGTTTGATCTTCTCTGTAATTGTCACCCTGGCCCGGCCCTGCTGGCACCAGCGGGCTGTCTAGAAATGCCCTGGAGCGGCTGGACGGGCAAGTGCTTTTGCAAAAGGCGTGGTGGGATCTAGCCTGCGAGCAGCTGGTTCCTCATTCCTGTGGCGCCATTAGGAGCTGTCTCACCCAGGATGCAGGCTTCCTCCTCCGTCCCAGCCAGGACCCCGGGAGATCACTCCAGGCTCTGGTGGCTCCCGCCTGTAATCCCAGCTACTCAGGAGGCTGACATCTGAGGATCCTGGTTTGAAGTCAGCCTGGGCAGGAAACAACCAAGAGACACCTCCAACTGACTAGCAAAAAAAAGAAAAACAAGAAAAAAGAACAAGAGAAAAACTTCTCCACCTGTGGTGCCCGCGTGGCAGGCGGGCGGGGAGATGGCCCTGAGACCAGGCTAGGGACAGGTGTCCTTCGAGGAGAGGACAGGGGTGGGCTGGAGATCGGGTCACTTCCTGCCCACCCGAGGCCCCCGGGGGCCCCTGCAACTGTTCCTTTACCTTCCTTTATGCAGTGGGGCTCAAGGCACCCCGAATCTCCAGCTTACTGGAGGACAGGTGCCTGTCCCCATTCTACGGGTGCCAGCAGGGCCAGGACTTAGGACGGCAGCCCGAGGCCCCTCTCCTGCACCCCTCCCATGCCCCCAGCTCTGCCCACCCTCACCCTCCCTCTGCCCCCACCAGTCCCCCACTCTCTCCCCACCCTCACTGACCCATATATACCTTTCTGACTTGCAGCCCTGCGGCCTCTGAAGCACAAGGAAAACAAAGAAGGTAGAGACGCTCAAGGTTGCACGTGTGTGTGTGTGTGTGTGTGTGTGTGTGTGTGCGCGTGCGCCCGTGCACACATGCATGTGTGTGCATTTGGGGGAGCCGCAAAGGAAGCACTCACCATGTTTTCACTGTCACCCCTCTCCTCCCCTCCTCCCTAGCTGGCTGAGTAACCCAGGTCCCAGCGGCAGAGAATCCCAAGTAGCACCCAGGCTTCCTCTCCCTGTACCCGAAGGGGTGGGGTGGGTGGGGGTGGGGGCCGTACTGGGGCTTGACCATCAGCCTCTACTTTAGGAAATGCAGGGAGTAAGTCACGTGGTTCTAAGCCTGAGGAGCACAGGAGAGCGAGGTGGATGGAGAGACACAGTATCAGTTTGGTCCCTGAAGAGAATTCTTAGGCAAAGTGGTCGGAAGGCCGGCGCCTGTGGCTCCTGCCTGTCACCTCCAGCTACTCAGGAGGCTGAGAACTGAAGTTGGCAGTTTGAAGCCAGCTCAGGCAGGAAAGCCCAGGAGACGCTCATCTCCAGGGAACTACTAAAAAGCCAAAAGTGGCGCTGTGGCTCAAGTGATAGAGGGTTAGTCTTGAGCACAGAAGCTCAGGGACAGCGCCCAGGCCTCGAGTTCCAGTTCAAGTAGTGGCACAAGAGAAAAGAAAAAAGAAAAGAAAGTGTCTGAAAGGCGGAGGTGGCAGGGCGGGGCCACACACTGACATCTGCGTGTGGGAGGGGACGTCGGGAAGAGGGGGACATGGATGGAGCCTGGCCTTGGAAGGACAAACGGACCATGGCCGAGGGACCAGTAGGAGGGCTGTGGAGACTAAGAGAGATGGCTGAGCAGAGGGCGGTCCCCCTGTAGCCTCCGCCAGTGCCTGGTACCTGCCGGCATGAGTTTCTGACACCCTGTGGTTAACACGGGGCTGTCCCCTGGCCTTGTGGCTCATTGTCCCTGTACCCCGGTACATGGCCAGGTCTCTATTTCGGACAGAATCCCAACAGTACAACTCCTTTTTTAACTGTTCCATTCCTCCTTGTTTTTTCTTTTCTTTCCACCATGAAATACAGATGATGGACCGGAAATCGCTTGACCAGGGAGCTACTGCCCCTACCTGGGGGTTCCTACCTGCTGGCTGCACTGGGAGGGTCCCAATGTGACACCCCTCCCCTCACCCCCCAAGGAAGGGCTCCGCGCTGGCTGCTGTGGACAGGCTCGGAAGAAGGCGGTACGTGGGCCACCCGCAGCCTGATTTCTATAAGGGACACGATGCTCAGAGTCATCCCTGCTGCCTTACTTCTCCACTGATGGTACAGGAACTAGCCGCTGCCTTATTTCTTATGGACACAGTACACAGTCTCTCCATTTCCTTGTCCCACAAGAGCCACCGGAACAACAGACCCCGTGTATAGACTAACCCGCTGCCTTAGTTTCCCCAAGAGACTACGCAGACAGACACCCCATGCGGCTTGTGTCTCCTGTGCCCAGTTTCCTCCCCACCCCCCCCGCCCGATCTGGGGGTGATCCATCTCTTGAATCAACACGCTGAGTCTCCTGCCTCCTCCTGCTCTAGCCCCCAAACCTTGACTCCCATCTAAGTGTGACCCATACACACAGATCCACTGCAGCCTGTGGCCACGCGTGCTGGATCACGTGGCCGCTGGCCCCCCTCTGGTCTCCTCCCCACCTGCCTGCCCTGTGGGAAGCCCGTGCTGGTCACTGCTTCTCTGAGGGTCCGCAGGAGGGGGTACCCTGGCAATCAGCCCCTTTATCCTTGTGATTTTTTTTCCACCTTTTTTTTTTTTTTTAATTAAGTTTTTTCTTTTGGTGCCAGTCGTGGGGCTTGAACTCTGGCTTCACGCTCTCACTGGGCTTTTTCACTCAAGGCTGGTGCTCTACCCCTTGAGCCACACCTCCACTCCCAGCCTTTTTTTTTTTTTTTTTGGAGTTGAGTCCCGCTGATTTCCCTGGCTGGCTTCAAACCATGATCTTCAGATCTCAGCCTCCTGAGTAGCTGGGGTTATTGGTGTAAGTACCCACACCTGGCTTCCCCCGCCCCCCCAAACTTGGGAGCCATTGTTTCTTTTGCTGATCTAGTAACTGAAAGTTTATTGAGTGGTGACAGGGGGGATCAGTGCTGTGTTGGGGGCCCTGCATGAGGCGGGTCCCCGCCTGGATCTCCTTTTTCAGCTAGTTGATAAATGACTTGAGCTGTGGCCTGGGAAGGTGGCTCAGTGGTAGAGCGCTTGCCTTGCATGCATGAGGCCCTGGGTTCGATTCCTCAGCACCACATAAGCAGAAAAGGCCGGAAGTGGCTCTGTGGCTCAAGTGGTAGAGCACTAGCTCTTGAGCTGAAGAGCTGAGGGACAGCGCCCAGGCCCAGAGTTCAGGCCCCACGACCAACGAACCAAAAAAAAAATGAGCTGTGACCAGTAGCTCCTGCCTGGCCCCCTCCTGTGCCCACAGCTTCTGGAATACCTCACGTCCACCCCACCCGCCCCCCTGGCCCAGATCCTAGGCAGAATGCTGGAGAGAAGAACACAGCCCCTGCCACAACTGGAGATCACGTGGTGTCGTGTTTCCGGGGGTGAGCTGGTGGGCAGGTGGCCGGGCCCTTGCACACCCCAGGCCAGACTAGGATTCTGTCCTCACCGGACCCTGGGGCTGGGCCAAGCTCAGAGGCTTAGCGATCATCCGGCCATGGTGCTATTCTGGGGCTGGCTGGTGCCTGCCTTGTCTCTGGCAGCCCCAGCCTCTGGTAGACTAGACCGTGTTCTACTGTCTCCTCGTAGTGTCTTCTCCACCCAAGGGCTACGGAAGATGTGAGAAATTCTAATTTAAATGTGGATTCTGTATACTGGGGGTGGGGGGGAGTGTTGGGAGAAATAAATGCCTTTGTCAGAAGCTTTTCTTTTGGGAAGTGCTGGGAAGGGATCAGCAGGAAGGAACCTCTCTGTTGGGCCTTTGTGGTAGGGGATGCTGGGGTCTCGTGGCCCCCTGGGGTTCCTGGCCTCAGTTTCCCTCTCGGGAAACCCAGCCGGTTGACCAGAAGGCCAGGCTTGTTGGTCACCAGCTGGGTTCTCCTGTTTGTGGAAGCATCCCCTGATTTCTCAGACCTCAGGCATGGGTAGGGCTTCCATTAGGTTCCCACCTTACAGAGGGGGAAACTGAGGCCTGGGAAGAATCAGCCACCAGAAGGGACTTTGTGCTGCCATTCCCTGAGCCTCTGGAGGGTCAGAGCCTAGACCCTGGTCTTGCCCTGTGGTCTGGAGTAGACATTCTGTGTCTGTCTGTCTGTCTGTCTGTCTCTTTCTCTCTCTCAGAGGGAGGTATGTGTGCAATACTATGTGTGCTTGAACTCAGGACCTGGGCACTGTCCCCTAGCTTTTGTGGCTAAAGGCTTGTACTCTCCCACTTGAGCCATATACCTCCACGTCTGGCTTTTTGCTGGGTTAATTAGACATGAGACTCTCACTGGCTTTCCTGCCCAGGCTGGCTTAACAAACCATGATCCTCATACCCGAGGCTCCTGCATAAGCTAGGATTCGAGGGGAGGGCCCCAGGCATCTGGCTGAAACTGGAAGACGCAAAGTGGGTGCTCCAGAGCTGGGAGGAGTTCCTTCCCTTGAAGTCTCCTGCAGTGGGTGGCCAGTATGGGCTGAAGGATTCTGCCAACCACCTATCCTTGCTCCTGAGCAAAGGCTGTGCCTTGCATAGTGTGTGCCCTCGGTGAGCCTTGGGTCCCCGGCCCATTGAGCTTGCCCCAGGGGTCCAGACTAGTCAGACAAGAGCCTTGCAAAGCCATTGTAAAGTGGGACGTTAGAGGGGGCGCCCCACCCCTGAGCTGGGGTCGCTGCTACTCCTGAGATGATAGAGCAGCCTACATCCAGCGGCCTGTGTCTGACCATTTGTAAAACAGGTGTCCTAGCTGGGTGCTGGTGGCTCACGCCTGTGATCCAAGCTCCTCAGGAAGCTGAGATCTGAGGATCGCGGTTGGAAACCGGTAAATGACCAAAATAGCCAGAAATGGAAGAGTGGCTCAAGTGAGTGGTAGAGCACTATCCTTGAGTGAAAAAGCCAAGGAAGAGAGCAAGAGGTCCTGAGTTCAGGTCCCAAGACTGGCACACGCGCATGTATAACGGATGCTTTTCCTTCCTGTCAGGCTTGAGCACTGTCACGTGCTCAGAGTCCAGGACTTACGAGGGAGCCGAGGGTGTCAGGAAAGCGGCCACCATGTCCCCTGGTGACAAGAGCACCGGAGAACAGTATTTTTAGCTGTCTTTCCGGGCACAGCTCCAGCGCTGTGCATTTTAATGGAGAAATAACTCTCACCGTGTGACGGGCTGTGCCTGCAGGTGTCACATTCGTATTAAAGAGAAAAGGGGTGACGGTTCATTTGCTTGGGCTGAGGTGTGAGTGGAATTCGCCCCCAGGGCCATTTGTAACCTGGCTTGTGAGGATCAATCTGACCCTGTGCACCTACCATTCAGAAGGAGGAGATGGAGGGCTGGAAATGGAGGGGGGGGGGCGGGGCGTGCAGGGAGCCTGTGACCTTGTTTCCCAGGACACAGGTGTGGATCTGATGTTCTGTGCACCAACAAGCAGAGACCCTAGTGGGTTCTGAGTAGGAACTGGTAGTGTCTAAAGATACAGTTGCTTCAAGTGCCATGTCGTACTCTGGTAATCCCTGCTACTCAGGAGGCTGAGATCTGAGGGTTGAGGTTCAAAGCCAGTTCAGGCAGAAAAGTCCATGAGATTAACCAGCAAACAACAACTAAAACAAACTAACAAAAAACAAAAGCAGAAGTGGAGCTGTAGCTCAGGTGATAGAGTACTAGCTTTGAAGGAAAAAACTAAGGGATTGCACCCAGTCCATGAGTTCAGTACTAGGAATGGGGGGAAATGGGCATGCTTGGGAGGAGCTCAAAATACAGAAGCAGGGCTGGGTGCCGGTGGCTCACGCCTGTCATCCTAGCTACTCAGGAGGCTGAGACCTGAGGATCACAGTTCAAAGCCAGCCCAGGCAGGAAAGTCCATGAGACTCTTATCTCCAATAAACCAGAAAACCAGAAGTGGTGCTGTGGCTCAAATGGTAGAATGAGCTGAAGAGCGGAGGGACAGCGCCCAGGCCCAGAGTTAAAGCCCCACTTCCACCAAAAAAAAAAAAAAATACAGAAGCAGAGATGGAGGGGGGAGGAGATGAAGCGTAGTACGAAGAGATAGAGCCCCTTTCCTATGTCATGGGGTCCAAGAGAGAGTAGGAACCCCATGTTTCTGCCATCAGATGCCCAGACCCAGACTCAGAGTGACCAATGCTCTGAGTCCTCCTGTAGGATATGGGAGTCCATCCCCACTCCTGGGGCCCCCTTCCCCCTTCTTTTCTTCCTGTTTCCCTCTTGTTGCCCCCCAGTTGTGTGCAGTCACGTGACCAGAACTGGCTCTCAATCCTTCCAACCCTGGTTGCTGCACGGAGGGAAGGAGACCATCTGTCCTGCTCCTTGGAGCTGTCAGCTGTCAGGCCGTGTGTGTGTGTGTGTATGTGTGTGTGTGTGTGTGTGTGTGTGTGTGTGTGTGTACACATGCGCATGGCAGACTGGAGAGAAACAACCTCTTCTTTCTTCCTGTCCCCTCACAGCTCAGAATCCCTCCCCCTCCCCCTCCTCTGCACACCTGGCTTGCCTCTGTACTGCACATCTGGAGTCTTCAGAGCACACCTATCTCCCGCCCCAGTGTGCCCTGCCCCGCAGCTTCCTGCAGGTCCTCCCTTCAAATTCTTCCTCCGTCTCAAGAGTTTCCTGTCAAAGCCTTACGCCTGTCACCCCAGCTACTCAGGAGGCTGAGATCTGAGCATTGCGGTTCAAAGCCAGCTCAGGCAGGAACGTCTGTGAGACTCTTTATCTGCAGTAAAACTACCAACAAAGAAAAAGCCAGAAGTGGAGTTCTGACTCCATTGGTAAGAGGGCTAGCCTTGAGCAACATAACTCAGGGACCGCATACAGGTCCCAAGTTCAAACCCCAGGACTGGAACAAAATAAAAAAGCTACCTCTCTACCTATCACTATCCACCAACCTAGGCGAGAGCCTGGGGGTGGGAGACAGGGATGGCTACATGCATCAAATAGTATTGATCTCAGCTATCAAACAGGAACTTCTGCAGAAGGAGATGCCAGAGTCTTGTGCCAGGCTCGTCCTGTGATCCACAGACCAATGTATCCCCTGGGTCCAGGTCACAGCCCTCTTCCTGCTCCTGAGGCCCAATATTGGAAAGGAAGAAAAGAAGGAAGGAAGGAAGGAAGGGAAAGAGAGAGAGAGAGAGAAAGGAAGAAAGAAAGAAAGAGAAAAGGAAGGAAGGAAGGAAGAAAGAGAGAGAGAGGAAGGAAGGAAAAGAAAAGAAAACATCCCTTCACAGTAAAACCATAGGAGGAACTGCCAACTTACCTCTCTATAGAGCTAGACCACTGCTGCTACCAGGAGCGTAGATCTGCCTTATTGGGTAAGAAAATGCAATTTGCCGGCGATAAATGGATGCTCTCCCCTGTGCCTGCAGCTTCCGTAGCTGAGAGGCCTCATACCTGCGGCCGCTCAGTTGCTGAGATTGCTCAGCTGCCCAGGTAATCAAGGCTGAAGACCTTGGTGCTTGAGGTGCAGCAACAAAGCTGATTCCTTTGGTATCTGTCTGTCTGACCTGCTTCCCTTCGATGTCTTCCTGTCTACCTCAGCCAGGAGGGCCTGGATGAGCCCAATGAGAAGGTGCTGGAAGCCGGGGGTTCTAAACTAGGACTTTGGTGGAACAGGAGTGGAGAAATGGGTTCCAT